TGGGGTTCCTCGTTTTTCTGAACCTCCACCTGCGTTTAAATGGACGGTCTCAGAGTCTGATGAGCAGATGCAGCAGCATCATGGCTGCAGCCATGTGCTTTGCAATTCGGAAACGGCTCTGCAGAACTCCCACCTCCCTACCACAGCGGCTCTTGCGCGTTGGGGGGTGTACCGGGCGCCGGAGGGAATCGAATTAATGGGTTGATGTTGAGGAACTTAATCGAAAAAAAGTATACCAGGCATCTCTACCGAATTTCCGTTCTACCGTGGCTTAAGTAAGCTCCTCAACTCGGACCCGCACTAGAGGTTTCGGAATCCAACAAGCGGCACCACCTTCGGGCTGTAGCCTCGGGGCGCCTGCTCAACTCTGCAAGATCCCAGAGAAAGGCAACCTAATCCGCCAATGCTACGGCAAGCTCTTACGCCCTGCTACATGAACCATAAGCCCTACACCTTACACTACACCCTAAACCCTGAAGCTTCTGGTTGCGATTCAAAGTTGCACCCTTCCTGAGGCTCTCTAAAGACCCCATCTCAGCGCGGCGAGGTCAACGACCATGAGCCTGCGATAGGGTAGCGCCAGCTTGGACACGGACCTACAGGAAAGGCTTGTGTTCATTGATACCTGCTGTCACCCAAGATCTAAAGCCAGAAGTCTCAAGCCCCAGACGGTTCAGGGAGTGGCGTTCACCTGTGTTTTTTTGTGATCGATTCGGTTGTTCTTCTCTCCGCTGCCAACATGACAGCCCTGCATGCATGGGGTAGGGCAGCAGATCCGAATCCCCTGCTCGTCGGTTGCCCAATCGACATGTGGCACGACCAAACAAACTCTTAGCCGATACGCACTTTAGAGCGCCCACCTTCCGATAGCGCGCGCTTCTGACCAACGCGGCGCATCACGCGCTCCTGAAGAGCGAAAGGTGGAGACTAGCAGGGTGGACCTTTCCACCGGGTTCTGCTGCTTGAGCTATATGGTGATGCTGCCTGAATGAAAAGGCCTTCCCACAAATTGCTGTTTTACTCAGCGGGCTTTCGGAGTGCAGCTGAGGACAGTGGTGTTGTCCAGTCCTCCGCAGCTTCGTCACGGAACTCCTGTCAGGAAATCTTGGGACACCAATTGCCGAAGAAGACGACAAGGAGCTGAATTATCACAAACAGTCATACGGGAAAGGGCCTTTCATGCTGTGAGAGAATCTCGGACTGTCAATTAGCAGAAGGGCTGTTCTAGCTTTGATAGCTTTGTCATTGACACCCATGCCCTACGCTCGAGAGACGAACACGCATCGATTTCGGGCTTGGAGGTTCCAGAATCCTTGGGTTTAAAGTTCAGCAAGCACCAGACTTGCAGCAATTTCTCGGCAGCAGCTCGAACAGCCCCAGAATCCAAAGCCTCTAAGGGTAAGGGTTGCGAACTGCAGAACAGGGACCCTGCCAGACAACAAGATCCTGGCGAACAGCCGTGACTTGAGACCCTTCTCCCATCCCCAATACAACCCCAAACTCATGATCGCCTCCAGTTGCATGTGGGTGGAGTCCACCTCATCCTGTCGAGACACCACTAGCCGGGCATGAGAACGCTTCAAAGGTCAGTCTCGAAACCCAAACAACCTGTTTAGGGCTTCGGGTTTAGGGGTTTAGGGTTTGATCCCAGACACTCACCTCCAAAACGGCACACCTGAAACTCTGTAATTAAGCCTGACACCCCGGCAACAACTGTGTGCGCCACAATTGTAATTTCTAATTTCTACCGAACGATTGGGGCTTCGGGCCGGGGGCACTTCGCTTAAAACTTGGGGATCGCTGCCTCTTGCAAGTCAGCTGCGGGGCTGCTGGGAGAATCGAACATGGCCGGTTTTTCATTAAAGGGTTTTTCATGAAGTGCTATCGGTTTCCTTAATACGATTATGAGGCAAGGCTTCGTAGCTCATAGAAAAAGGCTGATGTGTACGGTGTGAGATAGGTACCGGAAAGCCTACTAAAAGCAACGACTGCTGGAATGATTGGCGTGTTTGGGATATGGCATGCAATAAACGATAAGGAGATCAAAGAATAATTTACACTACTGAGCATGCCATGCTGCTGTCATCGCCTACAGTAGTTCTCCTAACCGTGACTGTGCCTCAGCAACTGTTGCACAGCGTATAGGTGATGAAAGTGTCCGGTGTTGCCACATCTACCTTGACCCTACTAACTTTCGCCCTGTGAAAACCGTGTGTAAGCCTATAAGCTTCCCTAAACCTAGACCTCAGGGTGTAAACTCAACGAGACCTAGTCTAAGCTCGCAAGTCAGAAGTTTAGGGGAACGAGGCCTGCCGGGGGCAGAAGCCAGCAGCTGGCATCAATACAACGTTGAAGGATCCTACTGAGAGTCCGGGTTGGCCGTGGTTGCCATAGCGCCTCAAACAACTGAATCGTACGGCTTAAGTCGGAACTGACGCCTTCGCCCCTTTGGCCGGGAAAGATGCATCCACAATCCGAAGCTAATGGACACATCGATCCCGAGCCAACGCCAACAGAAGCAAAGCACATCCCACATATTCTTTCATGCCCTAAACCCTAAACCCTAAACCCCCTTTTAAGACCTGGGGACTCCCAACCTGAACCCACACAGCTAACGCCCAAAAGAAGTGCTGGCCTTGTGCAGCCACTCCTTCAACTGCCCAAGGTCGTCTTTGATCGACCCGCTGCGAATAAGCAGGAACTGGCGGAGCACCTGTGCCGCTTTAAGATTTCCACTTCAGAAGCTCCGAGCTCCGAGCTTTGTCCATTCAGCTTCGACATCAAGTTGAGTGAGGGCTCGGTACGTTGCGTGTACTTAAAGGAACAGCATGGCAACAACGTCCATTCACCAAAACCCGGTGAGCATTCAACTGAAATGACACAGCACCTATACGGCAATCCTCCGCGATCCTGATCCCGTAAAACCAGTGATTGAAGCCCTCAGCACGCGAAACTGTAAACTAAACCATCCAAGCTGTAGAACAGCAAAACACAGCTTCTGAATCCTCTCTTGATCTGTCTGACACCTTTGTGTCTGGCCTTCGGAACTTCATTGATGGCTTCCGCAAACTCCTTTCGGTCAGGCTCTTAATTTACATGGCGAGGTATGCTCAAGTGCACATTATGGCTCTAGGGTCTGGAACTTTGGGGTTCTTGCGGTATAGCGGAGCTTTTGGCGTTTTGAGCCTGAATGAAATGGAACAGGGGTCTTGGCTTTACTTTGTGGCATGTTTGTAATAAGGAGCCCTTAGCAACTATTCAGGCCCGTATATTACATCCCAAGACCCAGAGTCGAGCAGCCTTGAGCAGGTCCATCTTTTCCTCAAGCTTCTTCTCCGCATCTTCCATCGCCTCAATGGTTGAACTCGGAAAATCCACAGACTCACCGAAAAGTACCGGCTGCAGGTTTAGGGTGCTTGGGGTGTTTGTTTCGGATTCGGGGCTCAGTTTTGGAGATGCCCAAGCACTTGAGCCCAGGGACTGAACCCAAACGCCCGACTCCCTCGAAGGCTTCAGCCATGAAGAACCGGTGAAAACCTTGCCCAGCAACTATCATATCTGGGCAAGCAAGATGAACCCCACCAAACACAAGCAGAACGCAACAACTATGTCAACATCCACAGCATGCCGCTCTTCTTGCGAAGACTGGCAAGCAGTGACAAGACAGATACCGGTAATCGTAAGCATACCCACTAACATCATCAAGTGGCCCTAGTTCCCCAAATCCTAAGCCCAAACTTGTAAAACCGCAATGCTACACGCTGAACCCTACAGCTCCAAACTCTGTGGTGCCCTAAACCCAAAACTAACCATGCGACAGCAGAAGCAGAACACAATTGGCCTCGGCATCCTCACGGCAAGCTTTCGCCAGGAGGTCAGCCATCCTTTCGAAGGCGTCCACAACATGAACGAGCTCTCAGGGTGTAGTATTTTCAGGGCTGAGGCTCTACAGGGCAGAGGATACAATGATTCAGAGCGACACAAGGCTGGAATGTTCCAACAACCCTGAAGCGGAACCCACCCACCGCAACCCAACCCCCAACCCCGCTCGTCCAGAGAGACTCCAGAAGAAGTCTTCGGTGTGTGCGGAGTGCGCGTGAGAGCGAGAGAGTGCGTGCATGTTTGAATGAGACTGTGAGTGCAAGTAGAGTGAACTCGAAGGGCCATCTTGCACTTAGCTGGAAAATACAAGGCGAGTGACTCCGCAAGGCGCATAAGCTTGGACTTGCTCGTGGCCTGGGGCGGTCTCCATGAGGCTTCAATTCTCGGATGCTTGGGCTGCTTCTCGCTGCCAGTTCTCAGAGGACTCTCATGCGCGGTGGAAGGGGAAGGCTCGGCTTGAGATGTGGTAAAAGATAGGCGCGCAGGCTTCAGATGCACATCCCATGTTTAAGAACACGTAAACAAACTATGCGTTGAGAGGGATGCAGGGACGCCGCAAACCGGGGATTCATGACAAAACGCCCGCAGACCTGCTGACCCAAACCTTGGCAACGAAGTGCTTCTGCCTTGCCTTCAGCCTGAACTTTACACACCTGCAGTGCATCCGAGGATAAAAGCTTGTAGCGGGACTTGCTTTCATGATTTCTGAAATCCAAGCTCATGGACGAGTGCATGAAACGAATTCGAGGAACACGTTCAGATCCTCAACCCCAGGACATAGCGTTGAGTCTAGCGTTCAACCTTCCTCTTGTCAAGCAGTCCGAAAACGGCGTCCGCCGTCTGCCCACCGAATCACCATGTACGAGAGTTCAACATTTATGCTCCAAAGCCACCACAAGCAGGGGCAACCCTTTAGGCTCTCCTTTCGTCTACCTGGGAGACCTTGAGAAAGTTTACAATGTCTCGTCTTCTTCCGAAGCTCTGAGCCCTGGAAGCCCCACTTAAGAAACCAGGGTTCGCGCTGGTGATTTTTCCCCGATCGAGGAATCCTTCTCGGTTTCTTAAATGAACGACAGGGAACAAGAATCGCAATAAGATACAACGAGCACCCAACAACATCACAATGCATATAGTTCAACCGCAGCTGCCTCGCTGCAGGCAGCGATCTCATCGTAGAGCGTGACGCTCCTGGGATTCACACTGACCTTGACAGTTTCCTCGGCCAAGGCTTTGTTGCTTCGAATTGATGACAACATTCCGGCATTTTGGTGTGTTCGGGCTATGATTTGCATTCTGGGTTGTATTGGCTATGGAAGGGCAGAAGCTTTAATGTGGGAGCATCCAGCTGGAATCCACAGGGCTTCGTGTTGCAGGGTGCGTTCCAGGATGAAACCAACAGGAAAAATCGTCTGGTTCTGATGCCGGGCATCCAAACAGCCACACGAGTAGCCACTCGTCTTCTGGTATCCACAAGCACAGTAATGGCACTGCGTGCAGAAAGTTCCCGGCGCACGGGGCCCGCTGCCGCAGCTGTTGCAGCGAAGAGGGGATGTGCCACAGCCGTAGCAGCAAGAAGGATTATCATAACGATACCCATGCGAACAATAGCCACATTCTGGGTGCTGACAGAACATCGCATTGCCCCGATGTCTGCGGCAGTGCCGGCAGATGGCGCCAACATTCGGCAGCACCGCCTGCCCGGCCTGGCTCGTGCCCTGCAACTTGTCGAGCAGCTTCTTGGCCAGCTGCTTCCTGGGTTGTGGTTAAGGGATTTTGTTTGGATTACTCTAGTAGAGATCTATGCTGAATAATGGGGTTTCCTTCTTCTAGTACCTTGAGTTAAATCCCCTAACAAGATCCCAGCTTCTTCTCAGCAAACTCCGGGGCCACCAGGCCAGAGAGCCACTTTGCATCCCCAAATTTGTCCCAAAACTGGCGGAAGGTGGCCTGGGATCTGAAGTAAAATTATAACTCAAGAAGCGTATGGACATATATGGACTTATGACTCGTCTCGACATGCAGAAACTAAGAAATTGCGTGCACATGTCACATAAACTGATTGAAAAGCAGAACAAGCAAACTGACACATTTCCGAAGCCCCGCGGCCAGGTTCTGGCGGACCTCTTGGCTTTGGCTCCCCTTCCCGAAAGCCATCACGGTTCCCATGGGCTCTGCTCGGAACTGCTTGGTGTTCTCCTGAGCTGTGGCTTCTGGCTGAAGGGATTTCTGTATATGGAGTAATGGAGTTTACGGAAACCCCAGCACATCGTGAATCAGAATGGAGGCATTGCTTACTACATTCCTTCCACAAGGCGTGAACGAAGAAGAAGAAGAAGAACAAAAAAGTATCGAAATCTTCAGTATGGCACCAAATCGCCATTGCTCTTTGGCAACTCCCGAACTGGAGCTCCGCACTCTCCTCGATCCCCTCGAATCATTTCACCCCAAGTACGGGTCGACCGCAGAAACCACAACCCCAGCGTTGGTTCACGGATGCAGTGGTCTCAGGTTTATAACGAACTTACACTCACGCCATCTTGAGATATAAACCCGCTTGCGAGCTCTCTGAGCTCTGAGACACTTATGGAAGACGGAGAAAACACTCTGCACCATCCTCCACATGAATCACGAACAACTCCCAAACTTCTTAAAGCCCCAAAAAGCCCTAAGCCCCGCAAAACTCCAAAAAAACCCAAAGCCCCCTAAAACTCCAAAAAGCCCAAAGCCCCCCAAAACTCCAAACTCCTGAAGCCGAAGCCCAGTCTCTGCCAAAAGCACCGTCAGCTGACGGGATGCCTCTCGAGCTAAGGCCTGACAACCAAGTAATGTAGGAACCGGATTAAGAAACCCTGAAGCCCCTGCAACCTCAGACCTCATACGGAAGTTCCTAAACCCATGGCTTCGGGTTTAGGGTTTAGGATTTAGGGCTTAGGGTTTAAGGTTTAGGGTTTGGCCCTATAATCCCAAAATATTAGAGTTCATATAAGGAGCCTTATTTTCGACCCCAGGGCTTCTTAATCAGGTAGAGGGTTTAGGGTCTGGGGTTTCGGGTTGAGGTTTAAAAGCACCGAGCATGTGCTCTGCCAATTCGACACAAGAGCCCCCAGGGCCTCCCGACTGGGAGAGCCCTTACTTGGAGGTTCATGGGTAGTTATAAGTGGGGTTATAAGTCCCCTAATATGCGTTATACGTATAGTTACCCTACTTATAACCTTATGTATAACTACCCATGTACCTTCAAGTAGGTTTTTGGGATTCAAGGTTTGCGGCCCTGATAAGGTGCAACGGTACCTGGAGAAGGCTTTGATGCAGCGGCGTCAAAGCATGTCTTCTGCTTTCGTAGCGCTTAGAAGCCTATCAGAAGCATGAAACCCAAGAGCCCGCTGCAGCAGCCACGGCCTTTCAAACCTTAAGCCTTAAGTCCCTAAACCTTGAACCCTCAGCGCGCAGCCCTAAGCCCTGAACCTTTTAAGGCCCTAACTGCCAGGCCCAACCCCCCCACCCCCCCTCAACAAGAACTGTGAAGCCTGTGCTGCGAAGCTCGGGGTGTGGAAAACAGTAACAGGGTAGGGTTTAGGGTTTAGGGTTTAGGGCGTAGGGTTTAGGGTCGGTGCCTGGTTTCGTTGCAGCTCCTCGTCGCTGAGCTGCGAAACTCCCAGCCTTAGCAGCTTCGGGCCGAGCTTTGAGACTTGATCGGTCAACAGTTTGCAACATATTTGTTTAAGGAACATGGAACTCCTGGATTTCAAAGTATGAGAGTAGGACTTTTGTACTGTGTTGCAAGCTTTTGCTGTGTGATTTTCTGGGTCCTCTTCAGGTTTGTAAATTAAGAGGTGTTTGTCGATTGTCAGGGTGATCCGGCCCAGCAATCGCCAGCGTCAAGATCCGAGGACGTCTCAAAATAACTAGTCGGAACCTTGAATGAAAGAGCCTGCAAGATCGGGAAGACAACCGAAGGTCTCAAACATCCAACACCCTAAAGCTTTGCACGCTATTTGCCCGAAACCCTGCGTCGGAATCCAGCCGAGAGAACATAATACTTAATCGATTATGGCATTATGTGACTGCGTGTTAACATGTTATTGGTATTCCCTCCAAAAAGCCACCAGGTTTAAGGCGCCCAAGGAGCCTTGAGAAGCCCGAGTTATGCTCGGTCATCGCTGCGATGATGGACCGGAGCCATTCCCTGAGTCGTACTTCCGGAGGGAAGAAGATAAGGTTTGGAGCTTAGAGTCTCAGAAGGTTCAGGATGGATCTTGGGTGAAAAAGCCCAAGGTTCTGAGGGTTTTTGTGCTCTCCGAAATCCATCCTGGAAGTTTCCAGGCCACCTGCTCACAAAGCACTAGACCCGAAGCCGCAAAGCGTTTTGACATTCCTGGCATTTCCAGATTCCAAGTACGGACTGAAGATCATTCATATCAAATTGCAGATGCTGATGTTTTATGGAATGGATTCTTGGGTATTCAAAAACTAAATCAAAAAACTAATCTAATGAGCACCAGCCTCTGCTCAGTCGTGTTGCTACATCAGGTTTGAGGCTAAAACCACCCTTCTGGCTATTGGGATCATAGCATTACGCACCTCCAAACCCTGTTCTAATCGATGAAGCGCCTATATCATCACCACCTGCCCAAGACTTGTCCGAGCCACGTGGTGCTGGCGATCTGCTCGCACGACACGTCCGGTGCGGGATCAGCGGCAAGCTCCTGGCGAGGGTTCCGAAACTGGGGGCTGCAGAATGAGACATTTTTCGGGACCCTCGGGAAAGCTTTGACTCCAAGCCTGAGTCTGCAAAACAACAGGCTGCCCACGAACAGGTGGTACATAGACATGCAGACGGATAGTTCCAAGTGAGCAGATGCATGAACTGAGCCGCTTTGTGACACCCATGCCGCGTCTTGCAAACGGTCATCAAAGACACTCATCTAGGTGCTGCTGCGGAACCCTGGGTAGCATTCTAAAATCCGTTTATGAATTTACACCCTAAACCCTAAGCCCCTAAACCCTAAACCCCTAAACCCTAAACCCTCAACTGAGACTCAGACCCTCGACCCAAAACCTTTAAGTTCGAGGACGAAACGCACGGAACCCGGCTGAGTTATGGACCCGCCTTCGTGATCGTGCTGCGGATCTCCTGCAGAACCGTGTGGGTTGTGTGAAGCTTGTAGACATTCCATAGCGGTTTCGATCTTGTGAGAGTACTGTGAAGCATCTAGCTTTGATACAGCACTCGATGTCTTTGGGGCCTGGAACGGGGATTGGCTGGGATAACGAGATTTCCAGTGGCAGCAGCCCAGCAATGCATCGTTGGAGCAAGATGCTGGCACAAATTTCAACGACAACGAGACGACGACGATGACGAGGACAACGACGACTTGCTGTTGTCGGTGTCGTTGCTTTTGTGCTGTGCATTGCAGCTATGAAGCACCTGTCTACGTGGAAAACTTGGACTCCAAATGAAGACCCGCTGAACTCCCTACAGCCCTGCGCAGATGTCAGGACTTCATTCATTATTGTCCTATGCTGCTAACTGAAATAAGGCGCACTTGTACACATGCACATGCCCAAGGCTTGCTTGCATGCCTCGAAAGACGTCGACAGCGGCTTGAGCAGATCTGGCGTGTCGCCGACAAGGGCACCGGTCGTGGTGATGACGCTCATGGCGACGATTTCCTATTCGATCCGCACCTGCGGGGCTACCTTGAGCAAAGCTTCCGAACGCAAAGCCCGAGGACGATCAGGATTGTGAGGCAAACAATGGCTGAAGTGACGTAGATTAAAACGCTGCAGTCACAGCTGCTCCTGATGCTTTTCTGGAATTTGCGTGATCAACACGCGTGAGAATCATGGTTTCGCAAGCTCTACTCGCGAATCGGGAAAAAACCTGCACGAAATCAAAGCAACACGGTTTAGGGTTGAGGGTTTAGGGATGCAAGTCATGCCAACAGAAAAAAGCCATGGAAAACGCTCAGCTGCAGCACTGCTGCGCTCATGAAGTCAGGAGCACTTGGCCATAGAAGCCGGAACCCTTGGAGTGTACAGGTTGATCTTCGAAGGACCAACCAGTGAATGAAGCATTGGCAAATCGCGCCCAAACGCGAAACAAAGATCACTTGACACCCCATGCTACTGATGCTGGTTCGGTCGGGAAGCACTTTGGCATGTGTGAACTTTGATGACATGCGGGCACTTCTTTGGAATCACTCGATGAGTGAAGCTGACCTGCAAACATCAATGGAATCAATGGTCTCCTGGAAATATTTCCCAGAAAAGGAGGAAGGTAATCCACCGGTTCGCGGTTCACCTACCCCCAAACGGATTGTGCACTCAGGGAGCAAGTGGCAGCCACAGCTGGTTGAGCTGATCATTGCAATAGTACATGTAGACGTTGTCCTGCTTAGCATCCGTTTACTTGAATATAGGTTTACCGGGTGGTGTTTAAGGGGGGCACCTCGGACCGAATGCTGTCCTTCTCGTAGCGGGCCTCCACGTCCCAATCCAAACAAAGCAAACGTCCGGGGCGGCGATCAGCTTCAAGCAGATTGATGGTCCTCTCTGCAAGTATCGTGAACTTCTGCTCCAGCTTTGTGCTGTCACACGGGGCGAGCACCACGTCTTGTATGGTGAGGACGAACTCAATGCGCATGAGGCAGAGCTCAGGGATATCATCCGAAAACTTGGTCCACAACTGGTTTGTCGAGAACCGCCAATTCCATACTGGTGCCTGGCTGCACTCACCACCCTCCACGTTGATGTTGTCGAAAGACAGGCAACTCTCTTCGCCATCTGTGAAGCTGGTCCGAAGCTTTGCGACTTTGAGCACACTGAGCCACCTTTGGGTATGCGTGTTGTTGCATTCACACATATAGACAGGGTACTTCTCAAACCTCTCAACGCCACCGCGAGCATCCCAGTCCAAGCATAAGCTGGGGTCCCCTTCGAGCTGAAGCTGAAAGCTCTCGCTGTTTGTCACGAACCTCTGCATAGGGTCTCCCGCATCACACGTCTTGACTACAGTCTTCATGTGGGCGTCTGATGCATTTAATTCAACCTCAACTGCTGTCAGGCAAAGTTGGGTCGCGGATTCGACGATCTGGCCTTCTTCCGTAAACTCCCAGAGCTCGTTGTCGGTGCAGCAATCCGGGTCAACCCAACAGTTTGTCCCTACCACATTCGAGCCCCGCACCGCCAAACAACCCTCCACATCATGGCCTGGTATATATTCCCACGACGTCTTCCAAAGCATGACGACTGGTGGCGTTGTGGTTGTGGTGGTGGTGGTGGTGGTGGTGGCCGAGGCGACGTTGGTGGTGGTGCTGGTCGTGGTGGTGGCCGAGGCGGCGTTGGTGGTGATGGTCGTCGTGGTAGGGGTGGGGGTTGTGGTAATGCTTGTCCCTGCGGCTGTCGTCATTACGGTGGTGGTCACTGCGCTGCTGGTCATCGACGTGGTGGTGGCTGGGGTGGATGCGCAGGGATCAGGCGCATGGAAGTTATGGCACGTCGCTCTTGGACTGAAGCCGCACTTGATCAACTTGCAGTCGTGACAGTAGAAGACCTCTACAGCATTGTAGTGTAGCCGGTACACATAGACACATTGGTAGTCTCTAGCATGCCTCCATCTGCCAAACCAGCAGCCCCCGTTCCCCGCGGCTTCACAGTCAGCCCCTTCTGGGCAGCTGGTCACAGCCTCGGCCTCTGTGCTGTTGATAGTGATTCCGGGTGACGGCGAGACTTCTTCAAGGCGGCCGCGGTGTGCCTGGAGCAAAGTGCTCTCGCACACTTCATCCGCTTCTGCAGGCACTGCAAGCAGGCTCAGGGCCACAAGCCTCACAAGCTGAAGCATGGCGTTGCGCCTGGGCTGCGCCAGTGCGCAATTGCCACTACTCAATACTGACTGCTTTAAGCAATGCTGGGGGAGTATATGGGGAGCAAAAACCCGCAACGGATCGCATGACGAATGGAATCAGTCAGAGGGTCGTTTGCGGATGATGGTGGTGATGATGATGATGATGATGTGGATGCTGATGGGGATGATGCGGTCTCTGGAAGGTCCTGGCCTTTACAATGTTGAACATGATCTTCAAAACGATGACGACGAAAATAGTGCTAGTTCTCGTGCTGGTGGGCGCTGTTCTATTCCACCCAGGCCCGCTACACGTGCGCGAAACGCAAAAGCCGTGGTCAGAGCCTTTTTATCGCGGCTTTCCAACTAGTAGTTGTAGTGGTGGGCCAACATAGGATTGGAGATTCACTTCACTTCCAGCCACTTCGTGGTGTGAAGCATTATCAGGTGCTGCTGCAGATGCGAATGTCATTGCAGATGTGTTGCGCAAGCGCATGGCTCTGCAGACGAAGCCGCTTGCTTCAAAGTACTCCTCGAAGGTTTGCGCTGTCCCTCAAGCGTGGAAGTCTAGAACCCGGCAGCTTGGCAAGACACTGCCTGCATCCACCAGCCAGACAGCAAAAAATTGAAGGCTGACAGAAACGTCCGAGGGGAGCAGCATCCTTCTCTTGGGCTTTGGGGATTGGGGTCTCCAGCTTTGGCTTTACGGGTTAATGAGTTTAGTTAGGGTCAGGAACTTCAAAAAAAAACTGGGTTCTATCTCACAAATCAGACCTCCTAACCCCTGAACCCTAAACCCTAAAACCTGAACCCTAAACCCTGTACAACTTCACATCTTGCCAGGCCCAGGATCTCAAGCCCTATAATTAAACACCCTCTAACAGCCCCTTTGAGCCCCTTATCCAGCCCTTTTCAGAAAACCACCGCGAATCCCCTACAAAACCCTCTAACATCCCTCTAAAACCCTAGAAATCCCAAGACCCCTATAACAAAACCTATAGGAACCCTGTAGAAAGCCTTGTAACCTCCCCCTATAAAACCCTGGAATCCCTTGTCTCCCAAAGCCAAGAGCGACCTGCCTCGGAGCTCTAACGACTACGGGCCATGGGCACGGCAAAGCACAGGGAGATGCGAAGAGGCTAAGCATAGTGCAGGGGCTTACCGCGAATTACCAAGAGTTTACAGGATTTTGGATGATGGTGTAGGGCCCGAAATGAATACCAATACTATTTTGGTGTCTTGGTGCTTCCTACTATAGTTATAGTTTCGTGTACCCCAAAAAATCCATTCTAATTATTAAGGCCCCTTTTGTAAGCTCTCAGGGTGCGAGGCCTTTTAACGTTAGCTAGGTCTTAGCGATCGTTAGGGCTTATCATCTAAGTTGTTCGGGGTTTGTAGGGTTCGAGTTTCGAGATTCTTGGGGTGTGCCAAGCTCAGGGGCTTTGGGGTTTATGATCGACCGAAAACCTCGTGAAATGTGGATCTGGAAGGATTCATAGAAGAGCTTTGGGGCCTTTAGGGTTAGAGATTTAGGTTTAGGGTTAGGGATAGAGATTTAGGGTTGAGGGTTAGAGATTTAGGGTTTAGAGATTTAAGGTTTAGGGTTAGAAGGGTTAGAGAATTAAGGTTTAGAGATTTAGGGTCTAGGGCTTAGGGCTAAAGATTTAGGTTTCAGGGTTTAGGGTTGGAGATCTAGGAGGGGTTGAGGGTTAGAGACTTGGGGTCCAGGGGTTAGGGTTAGAGATCTAGGAGGGGGTTTAGGGGTTGGGGCTGAATGTGTCAGGGCTTCTGCTTTTTGAAGACTCCGATCGTCTGGGATATGGGACTTGCACTGCCGCAAATGCTTTGTTTAGGCTGCTTTCAATTGGGTGCAAACTTCCACCAATAATCAGTAATGTGGGGGCCTTTGTAAGTAGAATAGGGTTTTTTTGGGCTCCACTATGGTATACTTATAAAAAGGAACCCTGAGGAATAAGATTGATTACTTTTTCGGCTTCTATAGTACTGCGTTGCAAAGGCCAAGCGGCACTCTGGGGAAACTAGCGGAGGGCAAATTTACAGACCTATCAGTTATGGTCAAGCTTCCGCCCTCTGTGCCTTCCCTCAAGGGTCCAAGTCCCTAAATCAGCATGTAAAAACTTTGAACCTAAAGTTGGTAATATAGAAGCCCTGATAGCTAGACTAGGGTTTTGGGGTATAGTATACAATAATTGCAATAAGGAGCACCCGAAAATAATAGAGGTACTTATTAACGCCTCTATATCATATAATGGCAGCTTTGGACCCCAAGTGCGCACTTGGACCCTTGCGGTGTGCTGCCCATGGAATACTTGGAGGTTCATGGGTAGTTATAAGCGGGGTTGAAAGTCCCCTAATATGGCTCGTAAGTATACTTAACCTAAACCCTAAATAAGCTCCATTTATAACTACCCACGAACCTCCAAGTATCTTACCAAACTGAGGCGGTCAAACAACTCTCACCTCATCTCCTCCTCTGGGATGACCAAAGTCTTCCTGACTCGTAGATGCGCTGGCCACGCATAGCCGGGAACTCCACCGCAACCGGCCAAACCCGCTCAAAATCTGAAATCTTTAGGGCTCTATAGGGTTTATAAGGTTTAGGGTCTTGGTAATCATCTACTTCTGAGCTCACCTTTCTGAGATGTTAGGGCTCCGAAGGTGAAGGTAAGTGGGGAATCCCTGAGAAGGGTCGTTGTATGGAGCCCGCACACCGTCACTACTCACGCAAGGCTCTCAACGGGGAATCCTGAATGGAAGTCTCGAGCCCGGCCCTAACCCTGATGTGGGGCGCCTTAGTAATTGGAATAGGGTTTTGGGCTCCTTTGGTTATGATAATAAACCCCAAGGAACAATAATTATTGGTAACCCCCAAACTGTTAAACTCTAAACCCGAAGCCTAGACCCTAAACCTTAAACCCTAAACCCCAAAACTCAACTTCGCCGAAGCACAGGGGGATTGTGGCCGTCGGTCGCAGTGAGGGGCTGTTGGGGACATGGTGAAGGGTGCATGGCTTCCTCCGCCCAGCAGCCATGGAGCCTTCTTCGGATCTTTTTTAGGGTTTAGGGTGTGGGGGTTTAGGGTTGAGGGTCCAGGGGTTTATGGTTTACGGGTTTAGGGTTTGGCATTTAGGGTGTTTGAGAGCCTTTAAAGCGCTTCTTGTGGTCTAGGTTTGGGGTTGCGGGTGTAGGGGTTGAAGCCCTGAACCTCTGAACCTTACCCGTCTTCGGCGATAGGTGGTTCGAGCTTTTACTCAACAAAAACCTCCAGTGCCAGTCCCGCACCCTCGGTATGAAGTTTCTCGAAGTTTCTTTAGCGTCCGGGGCTTGAGCTTGGGGTTTAGGGTCTTGCGAGAATGACAGTGGAAGCACACACCACCCGGACCCGCCAAACGCTAAAGATCTGTGGTTCAGGCGTTGACTTGCTTAAGGGAGCACAAAGGACCATGACCCTGGGCAAGAGTGCGTCTTGTCATTCCCTACAATTCTTGGCATTGCCTCCAAGTTGGCTTATGCGGGCACAAACAAGGAGTTTCAGACAACAAGAGACTTCGGGATAGACCCTAAGTAGTAAGATCCTGATT